GCGGCCCCTGGTTCGATGTGCGGGGCGCCTGGAACTGCCCGGCCAGCCCCCCCCCCCCCCGGTGCCAAGCCCAGAAAGGGGTGGCACTCCTCCACACACCGGAAGAGGCCGGGTTAGGCCGCGCAAGCGCACTCCGTACACGTGGCACTTCCGGGACAGGGAGGCCCGCAGACCTGGGCGGAGCTTGTCGTGACGGAGGGTGCCCTTTAGAGGGAGGGGGCCGTTTAAAGAGACCGTCCCTGGGAACGCGTCGTGGAGCGTTGTTCCCTTTTACTGTACCTCTTTGGATCACCCCAGCGAGGCTCATACAGTACATATTTGAAAGCGGGTTTATCTAGATTGGAGAATCGTTATGTCTGAACTGTTAACAAATCACTGAGTTTAGAGGATGTGCAGAATGAGCTTTCTTCACCACTGACTTAAAAGTAAGCCAGAGTCTTACGGTAGTTTAAAACAGATTAACAGATGCTTTATGACATAAACTTTCACGGACTCTTAATATTACTGGTGATTAGATAAAGTGCTCTCCCAAGTTAAAAGTCTAGATAGCAGTAGTGACTGGAAATAGTGATTAATTATACAGTACTGAAGAATATAAAAACATCTCTGCATATTGGGTATTAGAAAGAAAGATCTAGAAGTAAAATTGGCTTGGAAGTAGCCTTGAGTGCACATCTTGGTTCATTCATTCATTGCTTTATATGCCATCTCCTAATATTGACAACATATTTAAAAAACAGCTACCATATTTGATATTAAAAGTCAAGCTCTGTCATCAGATAAATTCTCAGCTTCCAAGAATCCTCAGGCTGTCCTTAATTGGGTGGAAAATGTTTTATAACCTCATATTAAAAAAACAAGAGCATGCCCTAAGAGTAAAGACGGAGCATATAATGACATAATTAAAAGATAAGAAGCTCCATTCTACCTCATCCTATATACCTGTGGTTTCCAGCCTTGGGTTCCCAGATGTTCTTGGACTAAAACTCCCAGAGGCCTTCACCGCTAGCTGTGCTGGCCAGGATTTCTTGGAGTTGTAGTCCAAGAACATCTGGGGACCCAAGGTTGGGAACCACTGCTATACATTAACAAATGCTCTTGTGAAAGATGATGATTTAATGTAGCCTTATTTGCATAGTACAGTAAGGCTACAACAATTCTCTATATGGGAAAGATTAACAAAGACAAGGCAATTAGACAGATAAAATTAAAATTCATTTATTTCATAACAGGAGTGGCTGAGGGGGTTGAAGATAAGTTTAGGCCGCAACAGCTGGAAGGCGTTGCCCCACCCTTGATTTAGGCATGATTACTGCATGGCCATAGCAAGTTCAATGCTTTTCAACAAAATGAAGAATTTGATTAAAAATCTTAACCACATAAATAGTAGGAGAATTATGAATGATTAACACTAATTGTTACACAATAGCAAGAATAAAAGATAATGATGATTCTATTTATAATGATCTACTGGAATTACTTGGCACAGCCAGGAGGGAGGGTTGAGGGGCCTAACGCCGAGAGAGGTCCAGAAAGAAAGAACAAGAAACCGGGCCTTCTCGGCAGTGACCCCTCGACTATGGAACAGCCTTCCAACAGAGATCCACCTGGCACCCTCGCTGGGTGTTTTTAAAAGCCACTTAGAGACTTGGCTCTTTAGGCAGGCCTTCCCTTCTGTCAATTCTTTAATTCTATATTCTTGCTTTCTATCATTCCCCATCCTGAATACACTATATTATTGACTCAATTGTTTAATGTTCATGATGTTTTTATGGCATTTTATGATATTTGTAAGCCGCCCCGAGTAGACGCTGTCTAGGGGGGTGGGGTAGAAATCAAATCAAATCAAATCAAATCAATCAATCAATCAATCAATCAATCAATCAATATTGTGGTGTAATAGTTTGCAAAACCCAACTTCACATTTTACTCAATCTGCTTCAACAAAGACTTCCAGACTTCAAGTGTTTATTTTTATTTCATCTAGACAATATACCACTTTTTTAAAAAAGGTCCTAATAATTAGAACTTTCTATTTTCACGTTCTGGCCACAGTTCAGTCCAGAGTTTCATAATCCATTGAAACTGTTGTGGCTAAGTCTTTCAAGGACAAGAATTCTGAACAAAATACACGTAAGAAAAATATGCTATCACACGATTTTATTTTTGCCCACTGTTCATGACAAACGAGTCATGTATGAAATAAATGCTCTGCAACCAAGTGAGCAAAGTTGAGAACACTGCTGTGCACTAGAGCAATCTCAGACAAAGCACTGCAAAACTACTAGGTAGGTAGGTAGATTTCTTTCTTAGCTTTCCTTCAATTAGTTCAAAAGCCATACAGGGCTTTCCTCCTCCCCAGTTTATCCAAACAACAGTACTGTGATGTAGGTCAGGTTGGAGAGTAAGATCAGCCAGTGAGTTTCATGGCTCAATGGGATTAGAATTTGGATTTCACAAGCCCCAGCCCAACTCTCTAACTATGGCTATATACAGCTTATCAAGTTAACAAAATAGTAACTGCAGTGAGAAGATACACTGCTGATATTACAACAGAATGACAACCATAGCCAAAGCATGTTTGCCCTGGGAAGGGACAGGAAAAACGTAAGAAGAAAATGTAAGTACTGTACAGTGTTTAAAAAAGAAAGGTAGATGTGCTCCAGGCATCCCTGAATTCTCCAGCAATGTTCATCCGGAGGAACTATGCTGGGGATGGGATGGAGTGTCTCACTCCAAAACTTAGGGGAAGTGCCCTTCTCCCTATACAAGTCACCTATGGTTTTAAAAATGCTTATACGCACATGTGGGTCTTGAAGTTGCCAATGAACTTACAGCAATGTACTATATATGCCTCCAGACACAAGTCTAAATCCGTTTATGTTCATCACAACCGGAGTTGTAGAGCACAACATGCACTCAACGCCCTTCTGAACACTTATGGGTGTGTTTGGAATTTGTATGGGCAGGCAATCAAGGAGAAGGTCTAAGATGCATAACAAGTACAACAGCAAGCACACCATGACAGTCTTTTTGAAGGGCAGAGGGCAAAAGAAGGAAACTGAAGGATTAACCTTTGCCATGCAGTGGGTGCGGCAGTTTGAGACTGTGTTCTCAGGCTGCAATCCTATACACATTTCTCTCAGAAGTAATTTTAGACGCAAAATGATATCCAGTGTGGTGCAGTGGAGATGACAAACTACTGTACAACTCAGGAGGACTTGGTTCAAAACCCCACTCACCCATGGCAGCTGGTAAAACCACTCCTCAAATACCTCACTTAACTTGAGAGCCCTATTAGGGTCACTCTAAGTTGGATCCTTTTGTTTCCTGAAGACAGGAGGGTCTGGCGTGCTCTGGTCCATGGGGTCACAAAGAGCTGGACACAACTTAACAACAAAAGTTGGATCCAACTTGACTGCACAGAGCGACAACAAAGCTCAAAATATCAACCCAATGAAGATAGCACCTGCTACATGTCTCTTCATTTTAGTCTTGCTTTCTTCCAATCAGTCTCTGCTTTTTAGACTAATACTTCCCTATGGAATCACAGCAGGAGTACCAAATACCTCATCTGTTTTACGCCTATAGCAAGACAGGATACCAAATTTCTGCTGTGGGTTTATCTCCTTCCAATCAAGAGGCACACCCTGATAATGCTAAAGCACAGAGGTTGGGCTTTACTCCTCTGTGGATGAGTAATTTTTGTACTTTCTCATTCCAGAATCAAACCTCTCTGTGTGTCTTCTCCACCTCCAAAATTAATTCAGAAAATGTCGTAGCTACAAAATATTCTGGGGAAAAACATTACATACCAATATGGCACATCTCTGGTAGTTCTTGAGAAGTGCTATGTTTTTCTGCCATGCTAAAATCTTTACCATAAGCATATTCCATTGGTAGAAACCAGCTCAACAATCACCAATATTATGCCAGCATTCTCTAAAAACACAAGCTGTTTCATTTCTAGAACATATAAATAATATAAAATGTTTCCTCTGGCAAAAATTGTTGCCATCGTAAATTTCAGATCGGGAATGTAATTATAGAAAGCAGAATCACATGACAAGGAACCAGCCAAGGGGACAGTAAGAACTAAAACAACTCAGAAGTTGTATTAACTTGTACAATATCAATTTTAAAACTGTTAAGGCAGCATGATTGCACAGAGAAGTTTAGGGGTAAGTTCAGTTTAATCATAGCTATCAGCCTTTGTTTTTCATTTGAAGCTGGAGGGATAAGAAATAGACAAACGGCATTCAGCAGGTCAAAAACGTTTTTAAAGAATATATTTAAGTGAACGAATTACCTCCAAACAGACTGGAAATATGGGAAATTTTCAGACAATAGGTGAGCTATGAAGTACTGTATATAAATGGCTAAGCATGTGGATCACACAAACTACTGTCTGTGGTCAACTTTCAACTTTTTTTTCTTCTGGACCCATATGCCCTAAAGCCAAGTACAAACTTCAGCACTAGTCAGGCCTCATCTTGAGTTCTGTGTCCAGTTCTGGACACCACACTTCAAGAAGGATGCTGACAAACTGGAACAAGTTCAGAGGAGGGTGACAAGGATGATCAGGGGGCTGGAAACCAAGCCCTATGAGAAAAGCGTGAAAGAATTGGGCATGTTGAGTCCTGAGAAAATAAGACAGATGGGTGATATGATACAAATTTTCAAATACTTGAAAGGTTATCATACAGAGGAGGGACAGGATCTATTCTCAATCATCCCTGAGTGCAGGACATGTAACAATTGGCTCAAGTTACAGGAAGCCAGATTTTGACTGAATATCAGGAAAAACTTCCTGTTAGAGCAGTAAAACAGTGAAACCACTTCCCTCAAGAGGTGGTGAGTTGCTCCTCTTGGATGCCTCCAAGAGGTGTTGAGTGCTCTAGAAGGTATCCTAGAGAAACTTAGGCAACCACCTGGCAGATATCCTTTGATTTGTATTCCTGCATGAGCAGGGGGTTGGACTTGACGACCTTATAGGTCCCTTCCAAGTTCACTATTCTATGAATCATAAGATATTAGATCTTCATTGCATACAATCCCATACACCTATTAACAAGAACTCTTCCAGCATCTTAAGATGAAAAAATAAATCTATGAGAACCCCTTGTTCACAAACAATAATCCCCCACATAAAGTAATGGAACATCAAATCTTGCACACTTTCCTGTAATTTTAATTAATGCTAAAGCTTGGTATTGCCTAACTATAGGGTGTTTTTAATTTATTTGTTTTAGAAGCTACAAAAAGCGTAATAAATCTGTTCATCTGCTTTTTACAGCAACAGGTTACTGTAATTTGATTATCCCTTTGGAACTGATGCATTCATTCCTTACTAAACAATGACAAACACAGTAAAGTCCATTTCATTCATAAGCATCATATAGAGCCAAGAGTGAAGAAACGCATTACTGCTATCCCATAGAATGCGGAAACCTATTACAGTACTTAAGGCAGCGAACCAGAGCTAAGCGGTAACCCACATTAAATCAACTTGTCTTGGAGCAAACAACACCCAACAGTATTTTTATTTCTTCAAATGTTGCTTCCGGCGCCCTGGCGTGCAATTATTTGGGAGTGGGTGGGTTTAGCATCGGATCATAATAACAGGGTAAGAAGATAGTTCTACAGAGAACCTAATATATTTACTAGGACGAAGGCTAGGTTTAAATGAGTCACCGCAGTCCTCGTGATCGATTCAGCCTTCTCTTCTCCAGCGAGACCCCCCCCAACAACAACAACAACTGCAATGTAACAAGGATATGTTTCGGGAGTGAGATACAGAGGACCGCGTTTTAACAAGGAGGGGGGGGAGACATTGAGGGTGCCCATGGGTGACGCTGCAGTGCGTTTTCCCGCACAATGTCTGAAATTCCGGGGGAGAGGGAACCCCCTTCGTGCTCCAGGACCAACGTGGGACCGACCCGACAAAATGGTCCGGAAAAACAATCCGACCCCCGGCGAAGTTCCTTCGCGCGCCTCAACACTGGCCGACGGTCGGGCATTAGGACCCGGGAGGAAAGAAGGGCGGAAGGAAGGAAGGATCCGGGGAGGGAGGGGCGGAGCGGAGCGGAGAAGGCGAGAGGAGAAGAGCGGAGCGGCCTTCGGGCTCCTGTGTTGGTGCCGGGCGCAGGTGAGGACGGCGCGGCCCGGGTCTCAGGCTCGTAGCAGAGGGTGAGAGCGGCGGGC